TTATCAGGCTTTATGTTTAAGAAATGGGTATTGATGAATTAGAGAACAGCTCACGTATAATTAAAGAGGCCAACACTCACGGGAGAATAAGACATGTTTTCACTATGCAATCCCAAAAGTTATATTCGAAAGAGCTCGAGTTTTGGGTCTCGTTTGAAAACCGTTAATGAATGAATATTTGCTGTAAAATTATTATCAATGCTATAAGTGTAGCTACCAGTTTGGCCGCTAATTTGGATTTTATTCCACTATGTCGCACGCTCAATGTTTCTTTGGCCTCACCTTTTTTTCACACCTAAGTTATATTTGATTAGATTTGTATAACATGACATTCAATAGCACTATATAACGGTTTGCTCGCGAACCACATAACAAAATTTCAGCCCGCACAATATAGAGTAATTCGTCGCCACCTCCTTATATTTTGGAGCTACTCGCCCCTAGTAATACAATTTTGGAACTATCCGCCCCAAATGAAGAACTATGATGTCAGGCGACCTACTTGTCTCAATGGATACCCCATGCAACCTTTGATCTCCTGTCACCGACGATCCCCCACTGAGGCGATTCCTTTTGCTTCGCGTTAGGTTAGTTAACTACTAATGAAAATTCGGATGTGGGACTTTATGGGTTGTATCACCAACATTTGCTATTTTTTTCAATTCTAATTTATTTGTGAACTTTGTGAATATAATTATAATCTGATAAGTAGGGTGTCACCTCTGAGAAAACTCATTGGCAAGGATGCGGTTTGCCGTTCTTTTCCTGCAGTCTCTTCTGTAGTTTAATTTGTCTCTCCTCATTATGCATCACTTTTTTGTTAGAACCCGTTTCGAAGTTAAAGTGTAATTTTTAGAAGGTACAATTATGTTATTCTACTACATTCTCTTTCCTTTAGAAGCCCTCTTAAAGTAATGCATATATATATATATACATAATACTACGAGTTACAGTAGGTGACATTTCTACAAGGAAACGTTTGGGTGACTTTATCATTTTCCAATGACTAATGATGCCCCCTATTTAACTTTATATTTTTGTCACAGAAGTAGGTAGTCTTAAATATTAAAATATGTAAGTCTACAGGCTGAACTTTTCCAATCAGCAAATCTCAAACCTTAGCACCTTAACAATTTACCTTAGTACACGTGATTGATAGAACGTGCGCTGTTGTTATTCGCGGTTGATAACAAACTTCAATAAAATTTGTGGTAAGTGTTCTTCAAGCATTCAACATGTAAGAAAGTTATATCAACGATCATAGACATACTGTATATGACGGCAGTAAGAATGTTGTTTCTTAATGCTCATAAAGGCAAGGAATGTTACTTTTTATCATAGTGTTTCGAAATGATTTAATGCGTTTGATCATTATAGGTTATTCTCATATATTGATTTATGATATTAAGAAGTTCTAGTCAACATTTTAATACGTTCTACAAAATGAAATATTGTGTCTATCACTAAGATTTTTATATACACGGAAGTATCTAGTTTCAAGCTAATTAAAACAGCAGTTTTTATCATACTCGTTTATTATGTCAGTTTTTCATAATTACCCCATTACTGTACTTGAATTTTATAAGAATTAGTGAACAAACATGGAAAATATACATATTCGCCCACGCCGATACAACGAAAGTGTTTGGTCTTTTAAATATTATCATAAAAGTGTGTTTATCAATTTATTGGATACTCGATATCCAAATTCTTCAAGATAAAAAAAAACGATCCTGATGATTTTAGGGAAATTCGTTGCAATAATTTACCTTGAGAAACATGGTTATAGAAGATAGCAGACTTGTTTGTAATCAAGCACATAGCTACACAATGGGCTATCTATGCTCTACCCGCCACGGGTATCGAAACCCGGATTTTAGCGTTGTAAATCCGCATACATACCGCTGTGCCACTAGGGGGCTAGCAGACTTGAACAGTCTAATGATCTTCCGCCTAGCAGTCAACTTTAGTAACAATCAAGCAAAGACCAAAATCTATGATACAAAACTTTTTCATTCTTGTATGGAATATGTGTGGTCTTTCATCTATTCCATACTGAAAACGTAATTTAGCCACATCAAGATAAACAATGAATAATAATAAAAAATATATTTACAAAACAGCAACTTTACATTTTA